TTTTATATCATATAAATCCATTAGCATACTAATAAATGATTAAAAACAATGAATTTTTTCTAATATTTTCATGTTTACTTTTCTTATTGGAACTTACGATCCTGAATATGTATTCTTATCGTTTTTCTGTTCTTTCACTAAATTCTTAGATTTTTTTTTTTAAATATGTCTAATACAAATACGAATCAATTTCTTAAAACAGATTTGTTTTTAATGTAAACATTAATATTTTCTTTTTATCTCTTACATAAAAAACGTGTCCTAAAAATTTGGGTGTAAATATTCAGTAAATTAAAAGATAAGGTCTGTAAATAAATTAAAAAGGCCTTTTTTTTTAATTCTTGAAATTTTGCATGTTAAATTTATTTTGTAGTTCAACATTGCTTTTGACCTTTCAAAAATTTTGTAAAAACAAAACTTTTTTTCAAATAAAAAAAAAAATTCAATTAATAACTTACTTAAAAATTAATATTTTTTTATTTTTGTTTGCAGTTTTTTCACATAAAATTGAGTTTAAAATTTCAATTATTTTTTTATAAAGCATAGTAGTGCAAAAACAAACAAGTAGTATGTAAAATTATTAAAAAATATTGGGTTGGCAAAAGTAATTTCGGTTTCACCATTCAAGTACTAAAAACTGATAAAAACCAAATATACTTTCTCGCCAACCTGATAATTCAAGGGTGTTTTGTAAAAATATAAAAATCAGAATACTTTATTAAATATTAAAGCTTTGCTACGATTAAGAAAATTAAATTGTACCTTAGCCAATAAAAAAAAGGCATTACACTATGGCTCCGCTATTTAAATATTATGCAAATTTGATGTGAAAATCTTTACATACGATAAAATCTTTGTTTAAATAAAAATATTTTTTCAAGTCTATTTATGTCTGGATTATTCATGCCACAAGAAATTTTAAAAATAATAACTGCTGAAAAAAAAAATTTTTGAATACCGCATAAAACTAAAAAACAGATATTTTTCCTACGATAATCTGCTAACTTTATAAAATATTCTCAAAATACTTTCCACAGATCTTAGAAAGTACATTTCTGGGTTATCTACATAAACTGAGTCTGAGTCTCTGCTCGAATAAATCCGATTCTCCCCTGGCAGTAAAATTTATAACTGTTTTATCTGAGATGTATTCGAATATTAATGTGATACATATTTGTAAATCCTTTTTTTTTTTTATTTCTAAAATGTTCAATATATGTCTCGAATATACGGAATATTGCTTAATCGTTATAAAGCTTAACAAGATAATGTTTTGTAATGCATAAATGCGTATTCTCAAGAAAAGTTTGTTAATTGAAATTCGATGAATGTTTTCATTTATTTATTTATTTAATTATCTATTAATATTTTTATTTGTTCTAATATCTATTAATATTTTTATTTATTCAAATATCTATTAATATTTTTTATTTATTCAAATATCTATTAATTTTTTATTTATTTAATAATCTTGATTTTTTTTATGTTATTCAAATATATATTAATTTTATTTTTTCAAATATCTATTGATTTTTTATTTATTCAAATATCTATTAATTTTTTTTTATGTTATTCAAATATCAATTAATATTTTTATGTTATTCAAATATCGATTTTCGTTTTCATTTATTCAAATATCTATTTTCATTTTCATTTATTCAAATATCTATTAATATTTTTATTTAAATATCTATTATTTTTTTTACTGATTTAAATTTATATTTTTATTTGTTTAATTATATGTTAATTTTAATTTTATTCCTTAATTTATTTTTATTTTATTCATCTTCATATTCAGACTAATATTAATATTATCCACAACATATTTTCATAAAAACTTGATGCATGTGTACATCTATTCATTTACTGTTACTAGAGATGTGCGAGCATATTTTGCATTGTTTTCAGAAACGAAATATTAAACCACGTGAAAGTGTTAAGTCAAATGAAAGCAAATGCTTCAGCATGTCCAGTAGGCAGACAGAAGAATGTGGAGATAAAATTCCTTCATATTAGTATTAATAAAGATGACAGACCAAGAAACAAACAAACCATAAAAAAAACATTTTATTAAAATATAAATTTATTTTTATTTTGATGGTTGAATGAAATATCAATATGTTTTCCACAAGCATGTATCCAAGTGTAGGATGGGAATAGAAAATTCAAAAATGGTATTAATGTATGAAAGATGCACCTGATCAAAAACATCTAATTGTGACACTATCAAGTAGCGATTCGCAACCTGCAGTATGTTCTACAGTACTATGTAGTACGTATACTTAAAATACCAGATGTATAAAATGAACTTTTTGGAGTGCCCTGCATATATGCTATGGTGAAAAACTTCATAAATATCGTTAAGGTAAAAAATCAGAAAAGGAAGTAATAGCATAAACCTAGTAATTGATTGATACTTAGTTGTCATTAGCTTCGCTCACCAGTAATGACGTGTGCTTTTCTCTGTTTCTGTGTTCCCGTTAGATTTGTCTTGATTTGATTCGGAGTTTAAGAATACTCAGCTCCATGAAACAAGATCAAGGAAAATTCTTTCAAGCCACATTTGACAATTTGTATATCAAGTTTATTAATTTGAGTGAATTTTCATCATAAGATTGTGTGGTTGAAAATTACTTTAATGCTATTTTTTTGTTTTTGTTACAGCTATTGACAAAATTTTAGTGAATTGTTGTTGTTGTTGTTTCTTATCCCCACTTGGCAGACATTTCTAGGCCAAGCCCACGAGCCCATATACGTACTCATGAATTGAAGGGGAAGGAAGCAGCTTTTGTTGTGATGGAGCACCCGTAGGTAGAAGTCTGACTTTTTGCTCCGTGACGCTCTTACAGTCATATGAGACCGGGACCTACGGTTAAAGTGGATTCGAACCACTACAAATACCCATGGCACCGCCGGGACTCGAACCCGAAGGCCTGTGGCACCGAGCGCCAGAGCACTGGACACTCGGCGGCCATTCAGGTCCCAAATTTGTGCATGCCAACGGCACGCGGTGTTCCCAGGTGGTCACCCACCCAAGTACTGACCGCGCCCAATGAGCTTGACTTCGGTGATCTAACGAGAACCGGTATATTCAGCATGGTATGGCCGGTGGCTTTAGTGAATTGTATAACGTGAAAGCAAAAATAAAAGCCTATAAGTGTCAGTTTAATTCATTTGCTATTTAATCTAATACTAACTTTAAAAAAAAAATTAATATTAGGTTAAAGAAAGGTATTTGTAGACTTAGAAACGTGAAGAAGGGTATTCGTAAATGAAAGTTTATCAAGTGGTATATGAAAGAAAAAAATATTGAAACTCACTGCCTTAAGATCATATCACACAGGCTTGTTTAGATAGCTTCAGTATAAAGCAAGCCAGTCTTCGTCGAACTTCTTTGAGTAGGAAAAATCATGCGACAATTTGGGTATTCATTGATTCTCGTGAAATGGGTGATTGATTACTGCATACAATTAAGCTACTGAGAATAAAAGTTAGATGAACGTAAAGCGATGGACTCGTTATTTGAATGGCAATGTTAGTTTGCTTCACGCTGAAGGTAGCAAAATAATAAGCCCGTCTGATAAGGCTTTTAAAGTATTACAAATGTATACAAACAATTGGAAATACAGAAACGAGATTGTTTTTTGATTGAGATTGACGCTTCTATTGTTCGAATAGGCATACCATGTGATGGTGCAAGCCAAAAGAAAATTTTTCTCCAGAAAATTCCAGCCCATTTCAAGCGTTTCGTAACTTATTTTGATCACGGAGGGAATTTTCTGGTTTCTCTCACTCCAACATCCAGATGCGTGCAATTATCCACAGATGTTCCTCATAGACTTTATTTCATCATTCTAAGGAATAGGCATTCCTCAAACGTTACTAATTATAAAGTAATCAATAAAATCAGATCCACATTAGAAAAATATGTCTAGATAAATATTAATTGTACTTATTTGACCAACAAATACGTTTTTATAGATAATTTCTTCAAACAAGAATTTGAATTAAGCACTTGTTGTTGTTGTTGTTGTTACTAATCCTCAATGTCCTGCAGCACAAGACGGATATCTACTCATGAAAGGGTTTGGGTTTGGTTTGTCGGCTAAGCAGACCGGGAACTACAGTTTAACGTGGATTCCGAACCCCCAACAAACATCCATGCCACCGCCAGGATTCCAACCTGAAGACTTCGGTACCAACGGCCAGTTGGCCATCAGGCCACACTTATGAAAGTAGAGCAGCTTCTGTTGCGATGAAGCACCCGTAGGTATAAGTCTGACTTGGATGCGTGTCGTTGGAGGAAGGGAGCGCCTTCCTGGTGAAACTTTTTAGGAGGAACTACCCTGCATTAGCGTATCGTGTACCATACGGGAGAAAACCAGGAAAATTGGATAGTGTTGTTGTGACTAATCGTCAGTGTCCTGCAGTGTGGTACAGACATCCCCCAAGTCTATGGATGGTGGGAAAGTTGTCAGCTTTTGTTGTGATGCAGCACCCTTACGTGGAAGTCTAACTTGGCTCCGAGTCGCTGAAGAAGGAGGGGCAGTGCCTTTCGGAAGGGCTTTTAAAGGGAACTACCCCGCATCTGCGTATGTATAAAACTTCCACCAGGTAGTCTGATTCACGAGGCAAGATGCTGAACATCTCAAACGCCATCGAGTCTCCTCTTTTTTGAAATAGTGTCTACAAGAAAGCCGCCGACGGAGCAATCCATTGCCACTGCGGCACGTCGGGCAGTTAAAGCTCTTAAAATAGAAAAATATTGTTTTTAAAGCTATAAAGTATATAAGTCGGATCAGACAGCAGGACTCAAGATCTCAAGACAGCCTAATGCTAATGGCACTGACTTTCTATTATTTTTATTGGTGTCTGTAAAATCTGTATCTGTTTTGCAGGATTTCCATTTTTATCTATAAAGCGATTTTACCTCCGCATAAGAAATCTTAGAAAGTATATTGAACCCTCTCAGAGGAAAATACTTTTCTGATTTCTTCAGTGCATTTGCAGATATTCCATTTGCAATAGACGTCAACTTAAAACAATTTAAATGAAACAGTTGTTTTGTATATTATGGTAATATGCGTATAAACATCACAAACAGAATGCACCGGTTAAATTATGTGCAATTCTAAATTTTTCAACCTGCATACAAAATAAATGGTTTTTATCATTTGTTTTTCTAAGAATTTATTTTACATTTGTCCAGCATCCAATTTGGTTAGAGATACAATCACTTTCATATTATTTTAAAGCATATTTTACGTTAAAAGGCAAGACGTTATGTAAAACTTGAGATGCATTTGTCTTCAATTCAATTCACGTGCGTACTCTATCGTTGATGCCGTGAAAATACAGATAAAATTGCTCATAACAAATTTTAATGCGAACTAAAGGTATAAACTAAAAATATTTTGTTTTGTTTAATATTTGTTTATTATTTATATAAATGGATAAGAAAAATCGTACGAGCATTCATCGCACAAAATTTATTAACAACTGGTTTGTCGTTAAACAAGACAAAATAAATTATAAACGAATTAAATATACGAGATGAAATTAATGATAAACGAATTAATTATGCGAAATGAAATTACAAACGAATTAATTATGTGAGTTGTAATTACAAACGAATTAGTTATACCAGATGAAATTAATTATAAAAGACTTATGCGAGATGAAAATGCAAATGAATTAATTATACCAGATGAAATTAATTGTAAGCGAATTAATTATACGAGATGAAATTAATGATAAACAAATTAATTATACGGTAGGAAATTAATGATAAACAAATTAATTATACTAGATGAAATTAATTATACATAAATTTAATTATACGAGATGAAATTAATTATATTAATTGTAAACGAGATGAATTAATTATACGAGACAATATTAATTATAAACACATTTAACTATACGAGATGAAATTAATTATAAACAAATTTAACTATACGAAATGAAATGAATTGCATACGAATTAATTCTATGAGAGAAAATTAATTGTAAACGAATTAATTATATCAGATGAAATTACAAACAAATGAATTAATTATAACAGATGAAATTAATTATAAATGAATTAATTAGAGATGAAATTAGTTATTTAATTTTTCTCAGTAATCTAATTCCTTGGATCCGTTCTGTTTCGAAAGACAACTGAATTTTTAAAAAAAAATTATCGACCAAAATAACACAAGATTTTCGTGAAGGTTTAGTATAAACAGCGAAAATAAATTATATTAACAAAACTGTTTTTTTAACTAATTTAATTATGTAACTGAATTAATAATTTTAACAGGTTTAATTTGACATGGAATGAAGAATAAAGAAACTATTTTAATGCAAACGAAACCTATAAATTAAAAATATTTTATTCTTTATTTAAATTATTAAAGAAAATCGTGCTAGTGTTCATTGTTCATAAATAGTTAGTTGCTAAATATGATGAAATTAACCGTAAAAAGATTGGTAAAAGCAGATTTTCAATAAATCTTTAACAGCCAATTAATATTGTGAAGAAATTTCTGTAACTCATTAAAAGGCAAACCTTTTTTTGAAGGAAATAAATGAAATTCCATTTTTCCACGTGAAAAAGAATCTAATTTAGGCAACAGGAGGATCAGGGGTGGTATTTTATATTATTCATATATATTCAGGGATTATATACAAATTACACGATATACAACATTAAACCAAAATAGTTACTTTTCAGATACATAAAAGTTTTTAAAGCATTTGCTTTGTAAAGACATATTACACTTTTACATAAACCAATAGTTTGGCTAGCAATTGCATCATTTTTTAGACTTTTCTCGACAGTATGATTGCTTGGATCCTTTCTGTTGTCGAAGATGACTGAATTTTAAAAGAAAAATGAACAAGTAATATAAAGAAAAACTTTTTGAAGTCAATTCCTACTGTTTTTTCACTCTATTGCAGAAAGTTTTTATAAATTGTTTTCACTCATTTTTTACGTTAGAAAAAATTCTCTCTCACATACACACTTTCCATCTCTCTCACTCATTTATTCACATGCTTCATTTTCCATTTTGTTCCCTCCTTGACTCAGTCTAGAACCCAGAATCTGGAAAAGAAATTTTTTTCCAGCGATCTACACTCTTCGCCACTGACAGTATTTATTCCTAAATTTATATCCTGGTAAATATCTTATATAATGAGAAATTTTTCTCCCCTATAAAACTCAAATTAATTAATTTAATTTAATTAATTAATTAATATTTGAAAAAAAAAACATCCAGTGTCATCCACTAACAAGTTAAAAAAAAAATGTATTTGAACTTGAGTGGATGAATAAAAAAGTATTTTATGAACGATTGAAAATTTGAACAAGATATATAAATAGGGACTGAGTGAACTAATAGTAGGAATTGAAAAATGAGCCCACAACACACTGTTGTGAATCTTTAATATAAGCATCTGTCGTTTCTATTAATGGTATAACCGAATGAAGTTAGCATAAATTAGCTACCACTATTTCTTATCTTATTTGTATTCTGAAGATGGCAGCCAAGGTGTTAAGTAGGTCTAACGCCATCTATATTCTGATTGCTTTTTCTTATTGTTTTCTGTTGTTCTATAGAAATGCGTTTCTTCTATTTCCTTGAATACCTTCTAGATTTTTTTGTAGGTGGATAATAGCTGGTGTTTCGTTGATGCTATAGTAACGGCAGAATACGCACGCAGTAATCGTAATCATATAAGCTATCTCGCACGAAGTAAAAGATTTGAAAATTTTGTCACAAATAATGTAATATTGTTTAATAATATAATAAACAAATAATCTAGTATGTTTATGTAATATTGTGTTGACAAAATATCATATTTAAATTTTTTTTACAGATGGATCAGTCGCAGAAAAATTTTATACATATTTCTCGAAGCGCATTTTGATGAAATTCTTATGCCTTGTGGTGCTATTTGTCTACGAAATTGTTTAAATATAGTTCGGCACTGGTGGGAATTCTATCATGGCCCTTTTTTTTTTTTTAAAGTACTGGTTTTATCATCTTTTCTGTTAACAAGAATCATTTAAATTGTGTAATTGATGTGCAGTTTGATTACATGTTTTGATGGTATTTCGT